ATGGTAACATGCCAGCATCCATCACAGCACTTAATGCTACTTTGAGACACTATATCACTGTAGTTTTAGCAGGTTTCCCGTTGCGAAATAAGGATTATTAGTGACATAATTGGCACAACTTCTAGTAAAGTTATCTGTTAGCTCGGTTTGGACCTATATTTTGTGATTCTTCAACTACTACATTGATGATTATAGAGGTATGATTTTTTTTTAAAACGCCATTGTCCTTACAATATAACTTAATGCTTCATTGTATTCAAACCCTCCCCACTAGTTGTTTTTTGTTAGAAGTGGATCCTACCAGCATCCATCACAGCATTTAATGCTACTTTGAGACACTATCACAGTCATTTTAGCAGGTTCCCATTGCAAAATAAGGATTATCAGTGACATAATTAGCACAACTTCTACTTAAGTTATCTGTTAGCTTGGTTTGGACCTATTTGTTGTGATTCCTATGTGTTAACTACTAAATTGATGACTATAGAGTTATGATAACAAACAGCATTGTCCTTACAATACAACTTGTTGCTTCATTGTATTCAAACCCCCTCCCTACCAGTTGATTTTTTGTTAGAAGTGGATCCTGCAAGAAACAAGAAACTGCCACATCCATCACAGCACTTAATGCTACTTTTAGACACTATTATTACTGAAGTTATAGCAGGTTATTATAAGAGGGATTATTAGTGACATAATTGGCACAACTTCTAGTAAAGTTATCTATCAGCTTGTGCTGGACTTATTCTTTGTGATTCCTATGTGTTAACTACTACATTGATTATAACAAACGCCATTGTTGCTTAATAGTACGACTTGTTGCTTTATTGTATGCAATCCCTCCCCACCAGTTACTTTTTTGTGAAAAGTGGATCCTGCAAGAAACACAAAACTGCCACATCCACGCTGACTTCAGGCATAAAGAAAGAAAGCAGACATCAGTGTGCAGCACGCAACACAAGGATGCTTTGTTGGCAAAACTTTGGCTGCAATGTGATGTGATCCAGCAACATATTTCCATGTCTTTGTTTTATGTTCATCTCTGCGCACACAAATCGTAACCATCCTTCCTATAACCACTAATGGCGCTTTTCCACTGCAGGGCCTCGCACGGCTTAGTACGGCCTTGGTAGGCCAGGCTCACTTTATGCTGCGTTTCCATTACAGTTTAGTACCAGGGGTAGCAACTATAGTAACGCAGTGTAGGCGGAGCCGTGACGTCATCTTCAATGCGAACCACAGAAAAACAACATCAGCCGTTAGCTGTTAGCCCTCAGAGCTCACAGCTCCTCATATCTGTTCAGAAACTAGACAAAAGTTAAACAAGTACACACCACAGACTGTCTGTGTCATGGCGAGTACTAGGGCTGTGCGATTATGGCAAAAATCATAATCACGATTATTTTGGTCAATAATTGATATCACGATTATTAAAAACGATTATCCATTTACTTTGAAAACATCCATATATTGAAAAAAAAATGTGAACAGTATGTTTTTAACAGTTGATTACCCTGAACTTTAAGTATAATTAAACTGAAAAACCAATAAAAAAAAATTTTAAATAATTTTTTTTTTTTTTTTAATAAAAATAATAATCGTTTTATTTCGATTACATTGTTTTCGTAATTGTTGCAAGCCAAAATCGTAATCGAGATTAAAATACGATTAATTGCACAGCCCTAGCGAGTACAGTCGCTGGTTTATTTATGTCTGTAGGCCGTTGTTGTGAGTGTGGACGGTCGGAGCATATACAACGTTAGCTTAGCCAATCTCCATTCAGAAAACACACATTTTAAAAGGTTTTTTCGCCTGCCGTCTGTCTGCAGACTTGTCAAAGCATTAATTCATGGTTTTTACTAACCGGTATCAGTATGTTGTTACTTCGGCATCATTTTGAAACGTGTATTACAATTAAATCACGGTCAAATATGTCCATCTTGTTGTAGTTGTAGCCCCCTTGCCAGCGATTCTCTCACTAGTTAGCATATTCAGCCCGGTTGTTTTGGAAAGAACCACGATTTTGGAGGGCCAGAAAAACTGTGAAAAAGTACCCCGTTAGCCGGAACTACGCCTAGTGGAAACGCAACAAAAAATGGGCTGGGTTTGGCACGGCACGCTAAACCGTGATACGTGCTGCAGTGAAATGCCATTAATCTCACTGATGTCAGCTTATACTGTGTGTCAAATACATCTTATAGTAAAGGGTTGATAGCTTTTCTGAAAGTATACACAAACATGATGCTGATGTTCAGGTGTATATTAGTATTTTCTGCCTCTAGTGTGACATGTCTCCATGCTCTAATGTTCAAAAAGCTCTTTATTTTTCTCATACTGCCTGTGCTGCAGCACCTATTTTCACCCTCTGTCTGAAACCAGAGCCCAGTCTGCTCTGATTGGTTAGCTGGCCGGCTCTGTTGTGATTGGTCAACCAGTTTAGAGATGTCCCGCCCCTTAGTCTATCACGTACAATGTGTTGGAGCGCTAGCCAATAGAAGCGCAAGTTTGTGATGTCACTATGTAACTGACGTAGGGAACACATGGATGTTAGCCTTTGCAGACCATTTACATGCACAAAAACCTATATAACACACTACAGCAAAGGGAAAACCCCCAAAAGCTTGAAATGGGGATCCCTTCACACTAACACACACAATAAATCATAGTTCTTGATTTAAAATCCAAATCTTTGCTGGTCTACACTTTTATAAAGCCGGATATCTATCCAACTCGTTATGTTCAGAACAACATTTAACATTAGCTTTGCCCATTGACCACACAGCTATGCCTCCGGGCTGCTTTCCCCCACCAGGCGTTTGTTAGATGTGATGGCAGGGATGACAGAGCTCATCCTTAACCCCTACCCCCCCGAAGGAAGGCCCTCTGGCCCCATTTCCTCCAGCGGCAGCTCTACCAACATGGTGAGTCATCAGACTGCGAGTAACTCATTAGTAATAACCACCACCTCCACCTCGTCACAGCTGCTGCTGCTTGGGCGGTTCACATACTTCATCTCTTCTTCTTCCGTACACATCACTTCAGTTATTAATAATCGCTTTTACAGGATTACAAAAATACTTGTTATGCTAACCAATCCATTTGTTAGCCTGTATCATACTAGGAAATCTGTGATTCCATCCAATGGGTCTTCTCTATTTCATTTACTCTTTCTATCACAAGCTTTGTGATACATGAAGGGGCAAATGATGATGGTATCAATCTGAATGTACACACCTGTAGACAACAGATAGAGTGAATCAATGTTCTGAGACTCCCAGAGGTGAGTAAATGGTGTCAGTCTGTTTCCAACATGTCCTGTGTATTGGAGCAGACTCTCTGGTTGTTTCCAAGCAGGCGCAGCTCACACGTGCATGTGGTCGATGATGACGTCATCTTTGTGTAGGAGAACTTTGAGAGTCTATTTTCTACCATCTAGTCAGCCATTAGTTTCCATTCCTCTCACTACACTGGGAAAACTAACTTTAAAATAGACTTGAAACAATACTAGAAGAGATGTTTGCTGATGGATGACCACATGTTGATTTTTATAGTTAAATCTCAAGCAGAGTCACTTTTGATGGAGTTGTTTTGTTAAATCATCTCATTGTTGGGTGGTTCTGTTGGGTGGTGGAAAGTAGAAAGTACTTTTAAGTTTAAAATGTGGCTATACTTACTTGAGTATAGTATGGTATGCTACTGTGTACTTCTAACCCCACTACTCTTCAGAGGTAAATGGTGTACTTTTACTCCACTACATGTATTTAATCCCTTTAGTTACTTTACAGATGTGGATGAATGATGTGAAATATAATCAAGTGTTAAATCAGACTTTAGTTCCACCTGGAGTAAATTCACAAGCTGCAGTATACAAAGTCATTCAAACTAGCTGCACCTTTACCAGCTTTGAGAACACTTTAAATGATCAATCATTATAAAACATATCATATATATTATTCTGAAATGGACCAATCTGCACAATGAATACTTTTACTGTCGCTACTTTCACTATATTTTGATAATACTTTTCTACTTTTACTTGAGTAAAGGTTGAATGCAGGACTTTTACTCATAACAGAGTATTCCTACACTCTGATACTTCTACCCAAGTACAAGATCTGACTACTTCTCCCATCTCTCAATGAATGCATGGAGAAAAAAAGAAGGGCAGGGAGGGGGGGGGGGGGGGTGCTAATCATGTAGCCCCTGCCCCACCTCCATGCTCTTTCACTGCAGACCAAATGGTAAGCCCTCAAAGCCAGAGCTGCAACAGGAAATCTCCCCTGCCCTCACCCCCCGCTGGGGGAGAAAATGAATTAACATGAGTGACAAAGACAAGAGATCACCTCGAGCTCTGCCTTCAATTAACATGACAACGACACTGTGGCCCTCTGAGGCTGACACAGCCCCTTTACTGTGGAGAGCAGGGAGCAAGGGACACATGTCAACAAGCTGAAAGAGGACAAAGAGACTTTAAGTGATCACATAAACTTTCAGGGGGGAGAGACCCCCCCCCCCCCCCCCACATCCACCCAGCCTCTTCGCCATGAAAACTAAACATCTGCAACATCTGTGTCAAATGTGGCAAAACATGCTTTTACAGGAAAACAATCAACCACAGAGCACATGGTTAAAAAATGATGATGAAGTATAAGAATTAAGGGGGCTGCTTTTATGTTAGTGTGACTGACCAAACTTTACGCAGGGGGGGCGGGGGGGTGTCGTGTCTTCGTGAAAAGCAACTTTTCTGCAAGAGGGGTTGTGAAATGTTCAACTCCAAACAAGACAAAACATCTAAATACAACTCCGTGAACTTTTTGACTTTGACTACGACACGAAAGAGTGAAGGGAACATACTTTGTGAAACACACCATCTCCCCGCATAATGAAACCCAGAACTTCAAAAGCACTTTTCCAGTTTCACAGCTGAAACTAAAGGAAGGTGATGCACATGTGGAGCTGCGGCATTTTTCTTCTTAAGGAACTTTATGAGAGAGACTTACCGTCACATCTGAGAGTTGGAAACAGAAACATCATCCAGAGCAAACTCTTCATGGAGGGGGTCATAGCGCCAGGTTTCACTCACTGCAGCGCAGCAACAGATCAAAAACAAGTGTGGAGATAATTGCATCCAGTTTGGGGATCTGGCTTCTTCTTCTACTTATTCTACTAGGCTACTTCTTCTTCTGCTTTTCCCAAGTCAGCAGCCGTGCCCCGGAGGACGTGAGGCATCAAGCACCGAGAGAGATGGGGGTTCAGGAGGAGCAGCAGACCGCGGTCATCCCGTGTTTCTGCCCGTGTGTTTCAGCCCGCAGAGCGAACACAGAGCTGCGGCTCCGCTGTTGGAACCGTGTCCTCGCTTTGGAGAGGCGCGGCGCGCGTATTGGCACGGTGGCGCGCGGGGAGGTTTGTGGAGAGGGCCCCATCTAGAGCCAGAGCGGAGGGACACAGCCAGATCACTGAGCCTCCAAGATTCATTTATCATAAGCACTATTGTCGTGGCTTCCTTCCTTGTTTTTCTTTTCAAGCCACTAGGACGCCTTAAACAGACACTTTTACACCCGTTTTTCTTTCCTTAATATTACTTACAGTTGAAGAGTTGCTTGACCTCCGATGGTTGGATGATGTTATGCGATGTGTTTGCTCAACATAAAATAACAAACATTTACACATGCCAACAAAGAAAAGAGGCCTTTACATAGTCAAAACAAAAAGGGAAAACTCAAATAAAATAACACACAACTTAGGTATTCTTTCTTGCTTTGTTAAGGCTTATATAACTTGATAACTTAAAGGGTAATTGGAAGTTAAAAACCTACCTCGACGGGGTCTTTTCTAGCAGGTTGCCCATCACTGTCACTTTAGAGGCGCCGTGGGAATTGTAGTCTTTTATACTCTGGTTGACTACAGACGTCACAATTTGGTGGCCTTTCTTATAAAAAAACAAAATACTGGCTTTAAGAACTATAGCTATTGTTTTTTTGTAATACAATTCTTAGCACCACTGTGACGAAGAACTGTATTTAAGTACAAGTTTGAGGATGTTTTACTTTCTGTATTTCTTTTTTTAGGTCCAATCCTTGGTGGTCTTTACAGCCATTTCATAGTTCGAGTAGTTAAAACTTGACTTAAAGGTGGGGTAGGTAAGTTTGAGAAACCGGCTCGAGATACACTTTTTGTTATATTCCATGGAATGCTCTTAACATCCCGATAGCAATGAATATCTTAAGTGCTTTGACAATAAATACATTAAAAAAATGTCATCTGTGGAAGCCGTAGTACTGTAAAAAGCACGACCAATCATTTTAGCCGGCCCGGCTAAAATAACTGGATGGCCTACCTGCCTGTCAGCCTTCCATCTGTGCACAAACTTATCTCGTGCCCTCATTGGTCATGTGCACGTTCGTGTGTGTTGGAGGAGGGGCTCTGTAAGGAAGTGGCAGATTTTCTCTGGTTGTGTATTTTCAAATTCTAGCGCACTCAAGCTGGTTTGTCCAAAATTACCTACCCCACCTTTAAATGAATGGTCATTCCACAAAATCACACCATAACTCAATTTAAATCATATATATGTACATTTATTAAAAGTAAAATGGTGTAAATGCAGTGACATTTACCAAAATAAAAGTAAAAACAAAGAATACAGGTGTAAACCAACCATAGCAATCACAGCCCTCAGGTAGAGTCCGTCGCAGACATATTAAATAAAACACAGAGCACAATGTCTCCTGTTCAGTCAGCAGCAAGCATCAAGTCATTTATTCTGTGGAGATGAAGTCTGATGCAGCTGTTTTTATTTATTAGTGACTGGAGGCCATTATTGTTTAAAACAGGAAGCCAGCTGCATCACTTCCTGCTTGTATGTAGTATGATAAAGACACGTGAGAACAGAGAGAGGAACATTAAGAGACAAAGAAAAGCAAGGCGAGTTATAAAGTGTGTGTTCATCAGTGTAGGTCCTCCTGACGGGGGTGTGTGTGCACTGTCAGTGGATCACAGCTCCTCAGTTTTGCACACGGCACTCAGGGTGTGCAGCTTCAGCAGGGACACCACCACAGGTCACTTGAGGAGGGAGGAAGCTGCCTCCTGGACGCAGGACACGGCCTTCTGGATGTCCTCCTCCGTGTGTTCGATGGTGACCACCACCCTGAGGCTGAGGACACACAGTCAGGGTCAGTGCTGACGTCATTAGGACATATTAAGGATTTTCACTCTGGTGTTATTTACCATAGAGCAGGGGTGTCCAATACTTTTTTCAACGAGGGCCACATACAGAAAAATATACATAGGGGCTGGGCCACTCACTCGAGGTTATACTGCCTCATAAGTTCAGTTATAAGTCAGCGACATCAATCAGATGTAGGTACATGATGCTTGTGAGTGTTGGCAGCTCATCCCTTAAAACAGAAGCCTCAGATTGATTATAATAAGGAGAAATAGGAAGGGTTTATTTCAAGCTTGTTATGGAAATAAGTCATTGGGCTTTTTTCTTATCAACTAAGATATGTTAGAAAATGTTTCCAACTTTAATCGACTGAATTTATTTGAAAAGTGGTTTTATTAACACATGAATACTACTGTGTAATATATTTTTACATTCATATTTAAGAAGAACAATATTTCATTTGTGGGCCATATTCCATTATACTTTTTGAATTTGATGAGGGCCGATTCAAAATGGTCTGCGGGCCACATTTGGCCCCCGGGCCGTAGTTTGGACACCTCTGATATAGAGGATACTGTACAACATTTCTTTAAAGGGCCCCTATTATACTGTTTTTCATCAATATATTACAGGTCTCAGATATATACAAAACATGTCTCTGAAGTGTTTGGCTCCAAACACCAAACAGATCATTGCAGCATCCCATAATCCCCTCTGTTTCAGCCCTGTTTCCAAAGTGCTGATTCTGTGTCTGTAGCTTTAAATGCTAATGAGCTGCTGGCCACGCCTCTCTGAGAGATGATTGGTTTAAAAAAACAAAAAAACACCTGCAGTGATAGGTAGAGTTCTTACCTGGGCGAGGGGAGGAAACGTTCCTCTTTTTCCAGGTAACGAGCGAGAGTCAGAGCCACGCCTCTGTCCATACACTGAAAACATGGAAATAAATAACAATGTGTTGCTTAATTTTAAAGGTCCCCTATTATACTGTTTTTCATAAATATATTATAGGTCTCAGATATATACACAACATGTCTCTGAAGTGTTTGGCTCCAAATACCAAACAGATCATTGCAGCATCCCATAATCCCCTCTGTTTCAGCCCTGTTTCAAAAGTGCTGATTCTGTGGGTGTTTCTCAATGTCGAGGAAGGCTGCTCCAGAGCCACTATTTCAAGGATGCTACGTCATCGAGTGCCGCCGAAGGACTGTTCCAATGTCCAGGATGCTTGGAATTCTACCGAAGCCGGCGTCCTTCGTTGCGGGAAATTTCGAGGCTGCACATGTGTATCCTCCGCGGTCTTAAAATCCCCACAATGCTTTGCGCACGGACCAATTTCCCAAATCTTTGGCTGAAATCGCGCTCCATTTAAGGCGGGGCCTTATGACGCACACCAGCACACCTGTTAGCCTGTTCCACCATTCTTCGTTTTCCGAGGCTAGGAAGGATTCTTGCCTCGCTTCTGAAGCAACTGACTGGGAGGGACTTGTCCTACCAAGGAAGCGTCCTCGACATTGAGAAACACCCAGAGTCTGTTACTTTAGATGAAAATAAGGAGCCCCTCCCCACGCCCTCAGAGATATTTGGTTAAAAAGAACACAATGGTGCTCTAGGAGGAGATTCAGGTGATGGTGGTGGGGGGGGGGGTTACCTTGGTTGGTGATTGGCTAATGGTTACACAAGCCAAAACATCGTTATGACATCATAAAGTGGCCAAAATCTGATCAGCTCATTTTCAGACAACTCTGAAACTTCCAGCAGTCTCTTTCCACAGAGGGACACATGTTGATGTAGAGAAGAAGAAACTGAAGAAGAGGGGACACATGTTGATGTAGAAGAGACATGAAGAAGAGGGGACCAATGTGATTGTAGAAGAGACATGAAGAAGAGGGGGGACACGTGTTGATGTAGAAGAGACATGAGAAGAGGGGACAACGTGTTGATGTAGAAGAGACATGAAGAAGAGGGGACACATGTTGATGTAGAAGAGACATGAAGAAGAGGGGACACGTGTTGATGTAGAAGAGACATGAAGAAGAGGGGACACGTGTTTGATGTAGAAGAGACATGAAGAAGAGGGGACACATGTTGATGATAGAAGAGACATGAAGAAGAGGGGACACGTGTTGATGTAGAAGAGACATGAAGAAGAGGGGGACACGTGTTGATGTAGAAGAAGACATGAAGAAGAGGGGACACATGTTGATGTAGAAGAGACATGAAGAAGAGGGACACGTGTTGATGTAGAGAGACATGAAGAAGAGGGGACACGTGTTGATGTAGAAGAGACATGAAGAAGAGGGGACACATGTTGATGTAGAAGAGACATGAAGAAGAGGGGACACATGTTGATGTAGAAGAGACGTGAAGAAGAGGGGACACGTGTTGATGTAGAAGAGACATGAAGAAGAGGGGACACGTGTTGATGAAGAAGAGACATGAAGAAGAGGGGACACGTGTTGATGTAGAAGAGACATGAAGAAGAGGGGACACGTGTTGATGAAGAAGAGACATGAAGAAGAGGGGACACGTGTTGATGTAGAAGAGACATGAAGAAGAGGGGACACGTGTTGATGTAGAAGAGACATGAAGAAGAGGGGACACATGTTGATGTAGAAGAGACATGAGGAAGAGGGGAACACATGTTGATGTAGAAGAGACATGGAGAAGAGGGGACACATTTGATTGTGAAGAGACATGAAGAAGAGGGGACACATGTTGATGTAGAAGAGACATGAAGAAGAGGGGACACATGTTGATGTAGAAGAGACGTGAAGAAGAGGGGACACATGTTGATGTAGAAGAGACATGGAGAAGAGGGGACACATGTTGATGTAGAAGAGACATGAGGAAGAGGGGACACATGTTGATGTAGAAGAGACATGGAGAAGAGGGGACACATGTTGATGTAGAAGAGACATGAAGAAGAGGGGACACATGTTGATGTAGAAGAGACGTGAAGAAGAGGGGACACATGTTGATGTAGAAGAGACGTGAAGAAGAGGGGACACATGTTGATGTAGAAGAGACATGGAGAAGAGGGGACACATGTTGATGTAGAAGAGACATGAAGAAGAGGGGACACATGTTGATGTAGAAGAGACATGAAGAAGAGGGGACACATGTTGATGTAGAAGAGACATGGAGAAGAGGGGACACATGTTGATGTAGAA